CTGATTGGTCAATTTGCAATGTCTTTTTGTCAAATGAAAGAATGTGGAGAGATATTTTGTTATGTATTTATCCATGCATTCACGCAATTATGTATGTATGTATGTATGTATTACAGAGTGACCTATGGTTTTAAGTTCCTGCTTCCTTGCTTGCTGGGTTGCATGGAGAGAAATAGCGAGAGACAGATTTCATGAAAGAAGTTGTAGATACAAGATAGAAAAGGGGTTGGTGAGGAATATAGAAACTGGATAAATAAATAGGTTTTCAAACATTTTGAATAGGTAAAGATCTGGTAAGATAAGATTTTTCTTAGCAAAACCAAGACAAAATTAACTGATTTTTGTAACTTTAGTAAGCGAAGCTTATTCTCTTCGGTTTGCATTCCCTGTTCAAGCTGGGATATGTAGACCCTTCCTATATTTAAGTTGTTTTGTGCAATCTAAATGTTGGTTTTTCCAGGTCTATTTGGCTAATTTGCGCCTCAAGGGAGTTGGGACAGATGTTCTGATCACTGCATATGAGCCTATGTTGATAAAGTAAGTTGCAAAAACTTTCATCTGCCATCGCTTATCAGTTATCAATTTGATTATTACTTTGTTGAACATATGCAAGTCTTCCCGAGCACATTGGAAAAACTTCTTTTTTCTACCTGCTGAGATGTACCTAATATAATCTTTCGTCCGATTTGTTTCCGTTCTTGAAGTCCTTTGAGTGAAAGTCGTAGCACAGCTGGGGCTGGTTTTGATGTACCTGCTGCTCAATCTGGATGTATGCCAATGGCTGAGGTATTCAAGCTTGCTGTTTCTAGTTTCTGGAAGGATGTCTGCAAAAAAAAAACATCGAATTATCCTAATGGCATGTTTTCTATTTCCCATCTTAGGCCAATTTTCACTTGGACTTGAAAACTTCTACTTGGCAGAGGAAAAGTTGCTTGAATTTGGACCCTTGGAAGTTCTTTTAGTGTGTTCGCAGCCAGTTAGGTCTCAAAATTTGATGAAGTACTTTCACTTGATCTTGGCAAATTCTCGTTATAGGTTACAATTCTTGGATCAGTGTCCTTACTTAAGGCTTTTGTTTTGAACTTTTTAGCGAACACTGTAATTACGTGTTTTTAGCATTTTCACAGTTCTGTCACTTTCAGATAGTAATTACTCCTTACACTGAATATT